AGAGAAAATATGTGGACACATTGCAAAAGATTATGACTGTAATTAAATCAACAAGCAGCAAGCTTGCTCTTACAGCTGATGTCTGGACCAGCATTGCCACTGAAGCGTACCTTGGAATTACATGTCACTACATCACAGAAGCCTGGGAAATGCAGTCAATCTGCCTCACCACCAAACCACTGCAGGACAGACACACTGCATCCAACATTGCAGAGTGGTTAGAGGAGGCAGTAACCCGATTTGACATTCCTCTCAACAAAATCATTGCTCTAGTGCATGATAATGGTGCCAATGTTGTGGCTGCAGCAAACATCCTGGAGGAGAAACATGGGTGGTCCTCTGTCAGTTGTACTGGCCATACCTTACAACTTGTGATAAACTCTGCTTTGAAAAATCAAGCGATCGATAAAGCTGTTAGGGCGGCAAGATGTCTGGTTGAACACTTTAAGAGAAGTGAGCTTGCCACCACAAAGCTTAAAGAAAAACAGAAACAAATGGCCACACCTGAGCACAACCTAGTCCAAGATGTAAGCACACGGTGGAACAGCACATTTTATATGATCACCAGACTGCTTGAACAAAGGTGGCCCGTGACAGCAACACTGTCTGACAGCTCGGTCACACACAAGGACAAAAAATATCTGGACCTGAAACCAGACCAGTGGAGCTTGCTTGAGGAGCTTTCGGAGGCTCTTAAGCCTTTTGAATGTGCCACTGTCTTTATGAGCGGGCAGACATACACCACTATATCTGCTATACCTCCACTGGTGAAGGGGCTGTTGAGGTCCACTCTGAGTGCAGACTTTCAGTCAGCTGCACTGCAGGCTTTCAAGCTTACGACTGTGGAGCAGCTGCAAGAGCGATGGAAGTTTGAAACATCTTTTTCAGACACTGCACCAAACACAGTGGTTCTTGCAGCAGCCCTCTACCCAAGGTTCAGGAGACTGAAGTTTCTGTCACCACAGGAAATCTTTGATGTCCAGGGCAAAATCCAAGCAATGGCATTTAAAGAGAGAAGGGAGGTGGATATGCAGCAGCGAAGCAGTAGCAGGACCACATCTACCAGTGATGCAGCTTCTAAATCAACATCAGGAACTCTTCTTGACTCACTCCTTGACTCTGATGGTGATGAAGACAGTCCAGGGCAAGTGGAAACTAGTGATGATGAGAATGTTCGAGTGAGGAATGAGGTCAACAGTTACTTTGGAGAAAAGAACCTTGCAAAAGAAGAAAGTCCATTGAAGTGGTGGAAAGAGAACCAAGACAGATATCCCATGTTGGCCAGGCTAGCAAGGTCCTACTTGTCCATCCCAGGGACCTCAACTCCATCTGAGCGTCTGTTTTCTGCTGCTGGCAATATAGCCTCACAGAAGCGAGCCAGTCTGAGTCAGGAGCATGTTGATATGCTTACATTTTTGCATTGCAATGCAACTTATTTGAAGCTGTAAGACAATTTAGGTGATAGCATGTTGTTTTTCTGTTATTGAACTGTTTTCTAGTAATGTTATGTGTTAATAAAGTGAAGGAAGGAGAGAAATAACGTTTCCCTAGCAGTTTTTTTAAATTTCCCATGTAATCCGATTAATCATGTCGAGACCCCATCCGATTCATCGATTATCCAAATAATCGTTTGTTGCAGCCCTAGTGGGCAGTCTAAGGCACGTCTGTACATTATTCATGCTGTCTAATCAGCCCCCTGATATGCCACACCTGTGAGGTGGGATGGATTATCTTGGTAAAGGATAAGTGCTCACTAACACACATGTAAACAGATTTCAGAACAGTATTTGAAAGTCATGGGTGTTTTGTGAATGTGGACAAAGTTTCAGATGTTTTGAGTTCAGCTCATGAAAAATGGGAGCAAAAACAAAAGTGTTGCATTTATATTTGTCTTTGGTGTATATAGAAAACAGATGTTCCCAGCAATTAACAGTAGCCCATAGGCAGTCTAAAAACAAGCAAAATTGAGTGATTAACATAGAAACTTTTTAAATTTGTGGTAGCAATTTTATCTTTATCAATATTCACCTGATGATCATAATGATTCAGAATGTTTCGCAGAGCCTCCGATATCTTGCCAGTGCGTGTGGCCTTCTGTCTGTATAGAGCCATAAGTCGTGGTGTGTGTCCGTCAAGTTCAGCATAGAACTGTTTCTGCAGGTTGATGTTTGTGACTCGGTGGAACTCCGCACAAACCTAAAAAAAACAGGAACATGAAAACATCCAATATAAAGCAAAATTACTGGCCAAATTGAGAAATCTTATATTTAAAGAGGGATTTCCAAATTTGTGCCCAGTTTTATCTTAATGCTGTCATTTTAACATTTGTTTTTTAATTTGAACTTGACCTTTCCAGCACAATTGTATCACAAATCTGAAATAAATTTTTTTGCATCATTAGCCTATGAATGTAAGAAAACTTCTCTTTAATTCAAGAGAACATCAGTTCCTACATTATAGACTCAGCAAGTTTTATCTATGGTTGCCTGTCTACTTAAAGCCGGGCGTACACTGTGCGACTTTTTCACTTTTTTGAGCCGATTTTCCACTCGTGCGAGAATCCACAAGATCGGGGCGAGTTCTGCGCCGAGCGTCGTGTAGTGTACAGGGGGTTACGAGAGGCGATTAACACCACGTGACCAGCTATCGAGAGCTCGCACAAACTTCTGGCGTGTTTAATATTTTGCTCGTCCCTCGTGAGGGTATCGCACTGTTGATGCGGCGCTGCGACCCAAAAAGTATCAGAACCGCTCACGGCGCATGCGCAATCCTGCATAAACACCGCTCGCCCGCTATTTCCCTAATAACACACGTTGTTCGATTTAATTTCTACATGTTTTTTACTCACAAAGTTTGTCAAGAAAGCGTGTTTGTCGTGTTCATGTCAAGTTAAACTGATCACAAAACACAGATTTACTTTCTTTATTTTGTTATACTCATCCAGCCCCCATAAATCCCTGTGCGTCCTCCTGCAGCACTCCCGAAGGACAACAGGCAAAACAAGACCAAAAAGTCTGACGTGTTGAGTAAAAACTGCTATTTTTAGCATATTTTTAGGGCCGACGTGTTGCTAGCAGACGTGCAGTGTGAGCAGTCAGGTCGCACTAAAATTTTGTTTCACTTGAAATGTCATCAAATAAAATATTAGATTAATCAATGAACGATTCAATAGAATTGAAAACTAAAATATTCTATAGCTGCAGCCCTACCCAATACCCAAATAAACAAAACAAATGTATTTCTTTTTGACACAATTTTAAATTTATTCTAGGAACTACTAGGTTTAACCTGCAATATGCACTTGAGACTTAATGAATGAAGGTTTCTTATAAAAAGGAATTGCGATGGAGTCATTTCACTGTGAAACGGTTGAATTGACTTTATAATACAAATTTGTCCATACAAAATGGAATGTCAATAACTAATGTGATGGACATTATCTAAACAGGAGCAAAATTCACACAAAATTGTGGATTAGGATTTACACAATGGATGTATCCTCAGTGATTTGGTGCAATTCTACAAAATGTGTTTTTTAATAGCTCAACAACTGATTAAACCAAAGTATACTCGTAACTCATGTGACCAAATATAGTCTTATAACTTACCATAAAAGGTGAACTGTGCTAGTGCCACTTGGAAGATCTGCACATGATAAAAAAAATCATTATAAATACCAACACAGCTATTACTAATTAAACAAACAACTGGTGGAGGAGATATAAAAAAGATGTTAATGTCACAAAACCAAATAGACCGACAGAAAAAGTGCAAGATAAGTACTAATAATGGGGGAAGATGGTGGGAGCCATTAAAATATACCTTTTCAACATGTTTTATTGTGACTAGGCAGTGGTTTAAAAATAATGTGTTTTATTAGCCACAAAGAAAGGAGCATTCTTCGACTCACCTCTGTTTACCGTCTCCACTGGAAATTACCTGCAGTCTTATTTTTTTCCTGTCTTAGCAACTTGCCTTGGAAGAAGAAAAAAAAACATTTAAATGACTAGAGATTTTATCAGCACACTCAATACGCAACACCCTTGCTCTCTATTTCAATCTGGGTAATAGTTTTAATCGTTGTGGATAGAAGTTGCCCCTGCTAATAACTACGTCAGTTTGGTACATACACGTTGCTAATAAGTTTTTAAAAAACGCCGGACAATTAGGCTGCTGTTGCAAAATGGTCAATTTTCTACCCAAAGCCGTCATCAAAATATCGCTATGACATTGTATTTGCACTTAATTATTTTTAAGACTTAGTTTTAAACGGTTGAAACTGTAAGACTGACATGTTTAAAAACGAGCGCGAACAATAGCGAACATTAATTCACTACCTCGTTTTGGCTGCAACGTACTGATAAACTTGCAATTTTACAAAAAGTTATGAAATTTTGTTCATAAAAAGTAACGAAGGTTGTGTTTTACTTACAAGTTACCCCAAACGTGCTCACCAGTCGCTCCGCTCGCGAAGGGCAGCCATGTTGAACAGAATTTTCTGGAACGTCTTTCAGGGATGGGGTAGAGAAAACGTCATGACGTAGTTGACGTACGAATGCGTAGCTTGAGAAAAAAAAACATTTACTCAAAAGTAATAATTATTGAAGCATCATTACTCTCAACTTTTGAGCCATGTACAATTATAACTGTTTAAATTGTTAAGAAAACAGAAAAGTTTTAAGTTCTTTAAACTTTGTGAGAAATTTCAATTGCTATGTCCACAAACTTTATAAGTAAGGTTGACTGTTGGGGTTTACAGTGTACTGAATTGGCTGACTGAGTGGAGGTGGTTCATAGATGTCGCAACCTTTATGTCAGAAGGGAACCCCCCCCCCCCCACACACACACACACACACACACCTTTTGCTCTTTCCATTGTTCTCAAAGAAATCCGTTCCACTTGATTCATTAGAAATGACTCAGTCGGCTGAAGTCCGTTCCACGTTTTCCTGGTTGCTCTGCTGCACGCATGGTGGGCGTGACTGACATGGTTGTCAACAAAGTTAGAAAATAAAAGACGAACGAACCAAAGTGAAACTACAGGCTTGTGGAAGCTGGAGGAGGAGTCAGTGCCATTACTATCCCATAATAAGCAGTGTCCTTGTCTGATCCCTCCACAGACACGGGGACATGAGGACATTTCTCACAAAGAAGCATAAAATAAGTAAAACTGTCCAGAATGAATGCTGACAGATGCTTTGAAACCCTCCGTCCCCCAGTTCTGGTTAGAACTGGGTTTGCCCGCGGGTCATCTGGGTGAGGCCACAGAACCTGCAAAGACTCTCAAAAGGTCTGGAAAACGACCGGTTCGGCTGGCTCCGGTGAAGTGGAGACGGTCATACTGGGAAGTTTCGGTAATGGAAACACACCAATTAGTGCCTGGCTGTCCTATAAAAGACACCCATTCCTCCTTTTTGTGTGAGGATGCCAGCTGGTCCTGTTCCCCTGCAGATAGCTCATCAGTACTTAATACAAGTTGTTTATTGTTTATCTACGTTGGTGTTAGTTTGGGATGTTCTGATCATACCAGCAACACCTGTGTGAACCCTGTGTGATGCACTTGGGCTTCTTCCCCTTTTCCTTCATGCTGTGCAGGACAGCAGCAACAATGTAAAACAACATGTCCGCCTAACTTTAACTCTGTCTGCGAGAGTGATGTAAGCTTTGAGTCCTGCAATGAAAAGCTCCAGCTCCTGGGGAAGCTGATCACAGCTGGTTTAATAAGATGTGAAGAACAACATCTGGGTGGAGTGAGGTGAGTTTCCAGGGATCGCTGCAGAGATAAACACCTCCCAGTCAGACGCAGCTACGCTCACCAACACCCGTCTGTATGAGCGTCAGAAGGCTCGGCTAATAACCGGACCATAAGGAAGTTCATGATGCTGGAAGAGCAGCCTTTCTCTGTGGTGGAAGAAGAACCAAGTTTATTCATACAGCACGTGTCCCAGACTGAGGTCACACAAGGAGTTACAATAAAACGCTGAACACTAAAGCTAGAACATAAGACAATGAGTAGAAAACAACAGGCTCCGCCCACTGCTCAATCACCAAGTAACCCACTACAGGACATATAATAATAACAACTACAATAATAATCATTATAATAATATAATAACAACAATAAATCTCCCAAAATGCTCATTTGTAAGGTTCCTTTGCTTTGTAGTGCTTTAGCCTGCTGAGAGCTTAAAAGTTAAAGGTTGTTACTGACAGCAGCTACATCTAAGTGTTTATTCATTTTCCTTTTGACTGAATAGTTGCTGATTTGATCTTGGAGACGTTTCTCCTCACATCAGCTTCAGATCTAAAGAATGAGTTGTGAGTAGGTGTTGCGCTGACCTTAGAGGTGTGGCTGCCCCTCTCTATTGTTCCTCATCCTTTCCCTACACGCTGACTCCGTTGCGCGTTGCCAGCGCGTGACCGCAGATGGAACCTGCGTGCGCTCCGGCGCGCGCCTCGCCAGGTGAGCAGAATTGAGGCAATTAAGAGCTCGTGCTCGGGGGAAATGAAGTACAGCCAAAATGTCTGCAACAAGCTTTTGCCCAGCGCGCGGCAGACTGAGAGGAGTGCAGAGCGAACACAAATGGGTACACTGTGAGGAGGAAGACTTTGATCTTGACGGGCTGTCGGTAAGCTCTTGGATTCACGTCTTTATATGGACTCTTTATCCGTCTGGGTGTGAATGGAATTTACTGAGAGGAAGTGTGTTAACGTCTGGAGTGCCAGAAATGACTGCAGGAATAATAGTAAATTAAATGAAAGCAAGTTAAGGCAGAAAACAGATGTATTCATGTATTTAATTATTTGTCTGGTAAAATCAGTCTTTTTTCATCCTTGCTTCATTGTGAAATGATTCATCTCTGAATTAGCAGCCAGTACTTGTAAAAGCAGATAGAATAGTACTTGTCTAAAACTAGACGCCCAACTGAAGGTTACTAAAGATGCTGGTGTGTTCTCCTTGCTCTGTATTACCTGTAACAGCATTGAAGTTTATCTGCATGATTTAGTTACATGTTTATTTTTGTTATTTAAAGCTTTTCCACCTGACTGGTTCCTGAACCCGGACTGATCTCAGTACTGGTCAAATAAATTGTTCTGAGTGAAATCCAAAGTCTGCTCTTTCCAAGTGTCGGCACCTCACAGTGGAAGAAAACACTTGACAGTAGGAGGCTTAGAAGTTCTGGTCAGAACCAAACACGCTGATTGTGATGGAAGTTTTTATTGATCCTAAAGTAGAAATATGTTTTTATCTAAATGAAGTTCATGTTCTTGTTCCTTTTCCCCACATCATGTAGCCGGTATCACTCGTGGTGTAAATATAAAGGTATGGTGGTCTGTAACATCATGTGTCTGTGTTTCCTACAGATGTTCAACAGCTGGTGCTGGTTAAAGAAGAAGATCCTGAAGAACAGAGTGCTGGTGTGGACCAGCAGGACCCAGAACACCTCCACATAAAGGAGGAACAGGAGGAGCTCTGGACCAGTCTGGAGGGAGAGCATCTCTGTTTGAAGGAGGAGACTGAAGCTGTCGGGTCTCCTGTTACTGCTGTTTCTATAAAGAGTGAGGATGATGAAGAGAAACCTCTGGTCTCACAGCTTCATCAGCAGCAAATAGAAGACAGAGATGTTCCAACCAGCAGCTCAGCTGACCAGATGACCGCAGAAACTGGTGGAGGAGCAGGAACTAGCAGGAACCCAGATCTGAACCCTCATGAACAAACATCTGATTCTTCAGAGACTGAAGTTAGTGGAGATGAAGATGATGATGATGATGTGAATCTGGACTCTGAGCTGTCAGACTCTGGGTCTGAAACTGGAGATGAAGATGATGACTGGAATGAGAGCAGGTCTTCTGAGTCAGATGGTAAGTCTGTCAACAAGTTCTTCACAAGTGGTCTCTCCAGAGACACGTGAGGGAGACGAGTCATCCAGCAGTCAGGTCTTCAGGCTGTTTGGTTCATAAGAAATGTGTTAGAGTGAAGCAACATGTAGACTCGTGCAGGAAAGTCCAGAAGAAACCTAAATCATTTAGTCATGATGACTGGAGAAAGGTTTACTACAAATGTAAACAAACAAATCACATGAGAGTCCACACATAGCAGCTGCTGTTCCAGAGTATGGGCCAGCCTCATCCCACCCATACTCTGCTTCTGGCCGCTAACAAGATGGCGCCTGTGTTTGGAATAGCCACAGGTCCGTTTCCACATTCCCGCCTGGCCACGGGCCAGCGCCGTGTCTCCGTCCATGTTTCCTCGGGTCTGTTTATCCTGGTTCTTCAGTGGTTTCCCTTCCTGTTCCCTCCATGAGTGGACTTTACACACCGTGGTTCTGACCTGCTAACTCCAGCTGTTTCTGCTTCTGGCAGGATCCTGGTGTAGGTACCCAGGGAGTCCAGATGCTGCAGGAGGAAGTGTAGAGCCATGCTGATGGTGTAACGTGATGGAAGTGCTTACTTTTACTGAATGATCAATAAGATGTGATATTCCATCTAATTATAAATGATCAATCTTATTGGTCTTTGAATATTTGATTTAATACGACCTTAGGAACACACACTTCATATTAATTCAGACAGATTCAAGAATATAGTTTATAAAAATGAGTTTAATTCTATATTTCTAAACTAATGATTACATGACTGTTAGGGATTGTATCAATAACCCAATACCTGCAGCTGGAGAGAGAGGAGAGACAACAAGCAGACAAGTCACCAAACTGCAATCAGGGGCAGAAGCTCAAGGCAACTGCCCCGAGTTTCTGCTCTCAGAGTTTATTTATAACAAAGAAAAGACTGTGTGTGTGTGTATGGGGGGGGGGGGGGGGGGGGGGGCTCTTTCAGGCATAGAATAATACATTCAGTTAATATTAAACATAACATTTCCATAACATAATCCCTCCTGTTTATCCGAATAGGATAACCAAACAAAAAGAAAACAACAACACAAAGAACTAATAAAGTAAAATAATAAAATAAAGAACAAATAAAATAATAAAACACGATAAGGCAAGCACAACTGACAATAACATCAAACAGCAGTTTACAGAGATACAAGTGAGATCATGGAAATCAGTTAAATCAACACCATCATAAACTAAAGAAGAGCTATTTCATAATCTTGAAGTGAATTTACTGTGATGCAACAATTCTACAATTTAGAGCAGTTCCTGTAAAGAGATTGGGAAGGATTAGCAAAACCATATAATATACAGAAAACCTCAGTAGAGTTTATTGTGTAACAATGTGTAATTACATCTTACGTATGAACCATAAAATGTGAGATTCCATAAAAATATGAAATATCAATCTGATGGATCCTTGAATATTTTTAACCAGAAGATTAGAACGTTTTATTGCAGAGATTATTTACCACTTCGTATTAACTCAGAGACAAGAGAAAGAGTCAGGTTTAAAAGTTTAAGAAGATTTATTTCTACACAATTTAAACAAGACTAACTAACTCTAAACACTCTGATAATGATGAATCTAGGTGTTAATGAGACGTGAGATGGATGGTGTGTGTGTGAGTGATGTTGTAATCAGAACTCTCGTATCCGGAGAGGCAAGTTCTGAGTGGGAATGATGTTCCACTCTAAACTATAGTGGGAGTTTCAGAACCACATGCAAACGCCATCCTGTCGGTCTGCGTACCCCACGAGAACCTCCGTTGTAGGTCCAGAATGTCAATGGAACCAAAGCTCGTAGAAACAACCGTGGTGCGACCAGACTGTCCTCGAAATGTCCTCAGGTCACGACAGGTTATTATAGGCATCAGCGAGACCCTGAAGGGGTCGGTGAGTTCAGCTTTTATTCTGAAGGAACCGTTGCGTTCAGGCGGTAACGTGCAACAGATTTTATCCAGCTTGTCAAGGTTCGACGGTTAAAAAGTTACAGGTGGCCGGCCCGAACTCTAGAACGTTTGAACTGAACTAAAGATGGCGTGGGAAATAGTTTTATTAATTTGGATGTTTTGATTTACGGTTCAAAACAGAATTTGACAGCAAAAGGGGCTTGTACAAACACCACAGAAAACTATGCCACGCGTCAGAAAGCGAAGGTTCTGATTGGTGAGACTAAAGGAAATGTGTCATGTGATTTAACATTTACACTGTGTCACGTGTCTAGTGGAAGCTGTGCCAAATTATAATTACTACTCAGGGGTGGACATTAACTTCAAAACCAACCGGCCAGCCGGGCCGGTAACTCTGAAAATCTACCGGCCCCGCTGGTCGGCTGCCAAAACAAGTCAAAATAACAACTGAACCGTTTTAAATGTAATAAACCTTTATTTTGTACACATTCACAAACATAATAACGTATTCAAGTTTGAATTTGTTTGTTCCCTCAGCAAAACTGGATCTTGTCGTCGCATACTTCCGGCATACAACGCAGTACATCACCTCCTTCGCTTTGCTGTACTCGAGCATTGGCTGTGTTCGAGATAAGCCAGTTCTGTGCAGATTAGACCACCGGTGAGCAGCGAGCAGTGCATGCCGGTTAGATTTTTGTCCGACTTGACGCTGACTTGCTCTGACATCATGCATACGTAGGCAACGATAACCTTGTGAGATCAAGGCGGCCGCAGATTTTGGGGCAAGGCGCTGCAGTTGCTCTCCACCGGCTGCAAAATTTAGATGACGGGAAACGCCTGGCTCTCACTTGATCTAAGATCTGATTGGTTCATATTTTGATCCAAACATCCGGTGGTAGAACATGAAATGTTAGTTGGTCACATGTATTCTGTAAATCACGTTATGTTGATGATGACAACTATATAGGCCACAAAGAGAAATGTTTTGTTTTCTTTTGTCACGTTTCCTATGAGCACACTGAAGCTACAGCTGATAACCTTTACTTATTATTACAGTCAGGTCTTCGTATACAATATATGATATCCACAAGCACGTGAGGATGTGTTTCAGCTGCTAACAGGCACCAGAATTAAAATTGAAAATTGAACAAGTGTGACTGCTAACACGATATCTTCAGCCATCGTCACCCCCGAGCTACACATGTAGGGAAATCTGTCCGACTTAAACGCCGGCTTTCAGCCACTCCCCCTGCTGCTTCCGTCTGTTCTCGTCTGTTTTCCAGGCGAGGCGCTGCTCAACTCGAACACGGCCATTCTCTGCGCCTCCCGTCTTCTTTAAACCGCCAAGAATCATTCCACCTATGCACACGCTTCTCTGCTCCATACCGTTTTGAACTGTCTCGCTTCTCCTCACCAGTTTTAAAGCGTTTTGCCGGAGATTTCATCAAGAAATCCCATCCCTGTGGCGGTGCCATCTTCCTGCGTGCTTGTGTGTTTCTAGCATGGTTCCACTTCGTCTTTAATAGTGAACTTATAGTTCACTTGACTATAACTAGAATCGTGCAGTACGTGCACGAATCGTACAAGTGCAGTACGTGGCTAGAGGCGCGCAGGTTCACGCGTGCTAAACGAAAACGGCGGCTTCCTACAGGGCGCGGCCATGATGTAGGTGAAAGCCGGTGCGTAAATGACAAACAGGGCATGGGCGCCACCCGGGTGGTAAGTCGTCAAGTATTTACCGCCCGACGAGAAAATTTAGCGCCATTGGCGCTCGGGCGCTTTAAAGGTCCACCCCTGCTACTGATTACAGGATTATAATTCAAGTAATAAAATTGTCATTTCACACAATGATTGAACATCTGATTTCACATTATAATTTGTAATAACAAACGTTGTTTGATTATATTTATTAAAAGAGTTTTTTTGTCCTGAGCTGTAGAGGGGAGGCAAGCAACTGATAAGAAACAAGTCTGAAAGCCTTGGCCCAATCTGTTCCCGTCAGATTAGGCTGTTTGAGGGAGACTGGATGTCTCCTTCCTTGAGCAGATGCAGGGCATGACCTCGGGTCAGAAAACAGGTCATTTCATTACGCTACAATTGAAACATCAGATGAATTTAAAGCTACAGGTCGCACACGACTGTTTCTGATAGTATCAATTTATGCCAGGGATTCCCTAAGTGGTGCGCGAGCTGCCGCTAGGGGGTGCGCAAGGTGAAAAGTGTAATGGCTGCGGAGCTCAGAGAAGTCTGTCATATGTCACCATTAGCGTAGAAACTCATTTGTGGGTGGGCCAAAGAAAAAGTAAATGGGCACAATAAATGTAATTGAAAACAAGTATATTTTTGCGCGCGTGCGTGTCCTCCTCATGTGCCCTAGCTTCATAATAACAATGTGCCGAGCTTCAGCACTCTGGCCTGCGCACGCCGATATGTTCCGTATTTGATCATTTTTAACGGTGTTGGAGGAATCTGAAGGTGGTGAGTCATTCTGGCAGATTGTAATTGTTTGAATGCTGAAAAGCATTCAAACTATTGTTTTCCTGTTTTTCTTTATTGTTTGAATGCTGAAAAGCATTCAAACTATTGAAAAGCATTCAAACTATTGTTTTCCTGTTTTTCTTTATTGTTTGAATGCTGAAAAGCATTCAAACTATTGTTTTGTTTGAATGCTGAAAAGCATTCAAACTACTGTTTTCCTGTTTTTCTTTATTCTTCTTCTTCTTCTTCTTCTTCTTATTCTGCTTCCGTACACTTTTTGAACCTCTTCTTCTCCTTCAAATTTTGAGCTATTTCAACAATTTCATATCAAAACGTTCAGCTCGTTAAGCTCTTTCCGGCTATTACTTTTGGCATTGATATCTTTCAAATTTTTCGAGTTATTAAGCTTTTTCTGCGAAAAATTTCCCATTGAAATGAATGGGATTGGTCAATTTTCAGCAAATTCCTATCACTTTTTTGACCTCAAACTCTATAGGGTTCCTTTTAACTTAGAGACTTCATTCAAAGTTTAACAAACTCACAAGACTTTCCTGTTTGACATATTAAAGAGGCTTTT